TCTTTGCAGTGAGAGAGACAAAGAGAGGAGAAAAAAAAAAAAAAACATTAATTCTTCCTCTCCCCCCCCCCCCCCAATTTTCTTCTCTCTCCCACTTAAGTGAAGAAATGTTGTAAGAAGTGGCATAAAGAGAAGTACTCTGAACACTTGCTTTCTCCTGAGCCCAAGGGAAAAACTGATCTCTAGCTCAAAATTCACTTATGTAGAAAAGAAAAAGGAAGGAAAAAGTCAAGACTTAGATGGTAATAGAAGGCAGCATTCCTGTATTGCTTCATCAATGCAAAAATATATCAAGGGTGGCTGCAAAGAATGCAGGTACACTCTCAGCCTATCAGTATTCAAAACTCATCCCTCCTCCCTCAGGTAGATTATCTGACAGAAATTATGCATTTTTCTATAAATGAAAGATGAGAGTCACTAGGAAGTAGAAACAGTTATACATTAAAAAAAATTAAAAACCCAAGGAGGAAGAAAAATCCATCTGTGCAATTTTATGATGTTACCTTCATTGCAAACTCATGAACCCTATCACCAGCCCACACTGGATGTGTATGTGCATCTACCAGGCCTAAAGAAAACAAAGTAAATGTACACTTGAGTTAATTCACAGTGTAAGAGAAAAGATTATGAACATTCAAGCAAGTTAAATAGACAGCAGAAGCTCGCCTAAAAAGTCTCTGTTGGTTAGACAGAAATAAAAATCCAACCAGACAAATATCTAGAATTTTCTTCAGAGGCTATAAGCTTTCTTTCAATTTTTCTTTTTAGGTCTAACACCTTATACAAAATGTCTCCAGGTTGTCATGTTATTTTGATAAAATTTTCAAACTGTGGAAGAAAGGATAAATAGCAAACTTTGAAAGAGTTCATTAGACTTTAAGCCTCTTTAAAAAAAGGCACGCTGCTTAGACTGGGCTCAGCACAGTAGACTTCCTCTGGCAACACTTAACTACCCTAGGAGCCTTTTCCACAAGCCCTGGAACTGATACTGCTGAATGGCAAGGCCACTGTAAGAGAAACACGGGTCTGACAGCTCATGTACTAACACCACTTGGATAGTTGAACATGCAATAGACTTGCCTGTCTTTTGGGGATTTTTTTATCAGGTAAAGTTGCAGAATATATGACTTAAAATCCCTTTTGCCTCCAAACAGCTGTGGGCAGGACGGACAGACTGAGCTCCGTGGCTGAATGGCTGAGATAGTACAGGAAAGAGCAGTGAATCTGAAGAATCACTCTGTGGATCAGCTACATTCCTGTTGTGATCTGTGATACAGAGGAACAGATCTAAAAACAAAACAAGAGGAGACAGAGCTCCACCATGAAACTCAAAAGAACCCTTAAGTATCTCCAGTGAGAGAGACTCCACAGCCTCTCTGGGCAGCCTGTTCCAGAGCCCAGTCATCTGCACACTAAAGAAGTTCTTCCTCATGTTCAGGTGGAACTTCCTGTACATCAGTTTCTGCCCCTTGCCTCTCATCCTATTGCTTGGCACTGAGCAGAGCCTGGAAACCTCCTCTGGGCAATCCCACTTCAAACACTCACAGACATTGATGAGGTCCCCTCTCAGTCGTCTCTTTTTGAGGCTGAACAGACCAAACTCATCCTCTCCTTGAAAGAGAGATGCTCCAAACCCTTCATAATCTTTGTAGCCCTCCACTGGACCCACTCCAGCAGCTCTCTCTTGTACTGTGGAGCCCAGAAATGGCCACAGCACTCCAGATGTGGCCTCACCAGGGCTGAGTAGAGTAACAGGATCACTTGACCTGTTGGCAGTGCTGTTCCTTTGTATCATAAAAATACACTTACCTGGTAACACACACTTCCCAGAGCAGTCAATTATCCTTTCAAACATTGCTTCTGAAAACTGATTGCGAATAACATCTGCCTGGCCCACAGCTTTGATACAACCATCCCTGCAAAACACAGGCAATGAACGAAGGACATGTGAGCCTGTTTAAAAGTGCTCAACGACCGAGCTTCTGGAACAATAGGTGCAGGACCTTCAGCAGGACTAGAGATGCACATGTGGAGGTGGTTTGCTCATCTTACAGATGCACAATGAACACTGGGGTAATGCCATGCTTTTCAAGCTGTTTGCCATAACACCTTTCCTCTGCTTAGATCCCTCTGGAGGACACCTTGGTGCTGTTCCGCTCCAATTCCTGCTAGGTAACACTGTTTTCCTCCTGTGGATCAGCGAGCATACAGCATTGCTTCAGGAGGGATCTATCTATCTATCTATCTATCTATCTATCTATCTATCTATCTATCTATCTATCTATCTATCTATCTATCTATCTATCTATCTATCCATCCTCAGGGCACTCGTACCCTGCCACCGCCTGCACCTGGATCACGCCCTAGGAAGCCACAGAAGCCTCTTTGGGACCGTTCTCCCAGAGGAGCTCGAGGATGCTACCGGGAAGGCCGGGCTGCGCTTGGGGGATGCCTTCCAGCCTCCCACGGAGCTGCTGCTCCCCGAGCCCAGGGGGCCGAAGCAGCGCTCGGTCCTGGTCCCGGCCCACACTCACATCCCCAGCCCCAGGCTGGCTGCCCGCACTCACATCCCCACCACCAGGCTGGCTGCCCGCAGCACGCCCAGGCTGGCAGCGCCGTCCCTCCGCAGGTAGGGCTCCCGCCGGCCGCACACCAGCACCAGCTGCTCGGCGTTCTCCAGCAGCAGCCGGTGCCGCTGCCGGCCCGCCATGGTGGCGAACACCGAGCGCCGGGACCGCTCGGCTCAAAGTCCTCCGGGGCGGTGCGGCCGAGCGCCCCTCCCGCCCCCCGTCCTGCCCCGCCTCGCCCGGCACCGGCCCGACCCCGGCTCCGGACCCAGCCTTGGCCCTGCCCGGCTCGGGCTGCCCTAACGCGGCTGCAGCCCGCTCCGGGAGCGGGATGCTGGGCTGGATTCGGTCTAGGATAACGTGATAATAATATCCGTGCATCGCGCTGGTTCGTGACCGGCTCCGAAGCACCGGGTGTCGCAGTGGGGCTTCCCGGAGCTCTCAGTCCTCACAGCACCACCTGGAGATCTCCCTTTGCCAAGAAAACAGAAACTTCTGATTTGGGAGAGTTTTTTTTTTTGCCCACGTGCCCCCTCCCCGGCGTCCATCACCTCTCCAGCATCCTTCATTTTGCCGGCGCCAACCACTTTGTCCGCATCCCAGCAACAAGCCCCGAGGGACCACGACTCCCACGCACCGCGCCAGTTATTCAGGCAGACATTAATTTGTCCAGGCAGGTATTAATTTATCCGAGTCCAATAATGAAACGTTTGTGCTATTCTGCTGCCCCCTAGTGAACGAGAGATGGGAGAATCAGAGAGCAAATATTTGCTCCCAACACGGACTTCTGGCTTTCTCTTCTCTCTTCACATATTCATAGCGTCTATAGGACTCCAGTATTTTTCCAGATTAAAAATTGAGTGTCTTTCTAAAGAAGTGTTCCCTCAAACACTTCTCCCGGGGTGGTAATCTTCTTTAGACACCTTCTTTTCTTTCAGAAAGAGAATTGATTTAAAATGCCGGTAACACACCTATGTGCATATACATACTCCTGTTCAGCCGAAACAGTTGGATATGTTGGACTCTTTGAAAGAGCCCTTCTGGTGAAGTCTTGTTTGCAAATGAGGCAAGATTTGCATTTAAAGCCCAGTAATTTGTACTTATTACCAAACCTGCAAAGTGAGTATAGCTACAATAAAGTTGGGTGTTATCTTGTGGTGCTGTTCCACTCACATAATCTTTGTCTTCCACCTAAACTCTCACTTAGGCATGCAGAAGATTGACAGGATAGCTGGTAGAGGGTGCTTCACCATTTCCAGGAGTTCCTGCTGCTGACTTTGGCACTCCTCAGCAGCATCACAATGTTTGAAAGCAGATATTGCAGAGGAACCTGGCAACAGCATGGCAACAAGCACAGGACATCCCATTGTGGGTGGTGCTTAAGCAGTGGTGGTGGGCTGAGAGCTGTTTTGTCAGGAACGAAACACAGCATGTTGCGGTGGAGGGGGAAAAAAGGAAAAATCAGAACACCTGTGAGCTGTGTTGTTAAACTTTTAAAGAAAAAACAATTTTTGTGCTCTAGGCCTCTCCAAGAATCAAGGTCAGATCCTGACTTAAACCCTGAGAATCAGAGCTTACATATGTCAATATTAAAGGAACACATGGATAGCTCCAGGGATGACTTCCAACATAAGAAATGAGGAGGTATTTCTCTGCAGGATCTATCCTGACAGGCTGGTGTCCTTCCCTGAGTTCACATAACCAGTGTTCTATCCTACTGCAGCCCTGAGCATCCAGCACTGCCCACTCCAGCTGTCTCTGAAAGGATGTGTGACCCCAGCCAACAGGGCTGGAGATCTGCACTCCACATGCACCTACTGCAGCCACAACCTGTGCAGCTTTTAGACAGAACATCTTCTCTTCACGACATGCTGAGGACCACAGCATCCTTTCTGCTCTTCAGCAGAGACTCACAAAGCACATACCCATTCTGCAGTCTCTTGTCTCAACTCTGTTAATGCCAATGAGGTCTGTGGATCTCTACAGCTGCCAGGAGCCTTTTGTTTGGCTGGCTGTTGGCTACTAAGTCAATCAATACAAGTTTGTCCTTCCTCAATGACTGTACAGCCACACTCCCAGCTTCCTGATGCAAAGCAGGAGAATATTTCTGAGAGAAACTGGGGTTTAACAGATCTCCACACCTCACCTGCAGTGAAATCCTCCCAGCTAATTCCAAATGTTCTATAAACATGTTTAAAGATTAAATAGATTTAAATAGCCACTACATACATACTGTAAATATAGAGACTGCCAAGTCCTCCTGTGTTTCAGATGGGAAGATAACTGGTATTTTCATTTTAATATTTTCAGCTTTAAATTGAAACAATTACCTCTTGTTCCTCCAGCATTAGTTTTTTGGTCATCAATAAAATATTAAAGACCTTTCAAAGGGTAATTTTTTTTCACACTAAAACACAATGTAAAAAAAGTAAACACCTTACTACAAAAGTATGAAAAACAAAAAAGAAAAAAAAATTTATTTCCAGAAATACAAAACACCTATTCTCTCATTTCTCCATCTTCTTCCTCTTCTTCCACACCTCTGATGTACAAAACATTATTGCACCTGTAAACAGAATCAAAAAGTTCCCTTAGCTATAAACATTATTATTTTCCCCACATAAAACATGCTTTAAACATTTTCCTACTTAAATGTAGCCTGGCAACAGCCAAATTCTATGGAACAAAATGCTGCTGTTGACCTTGTACTCCTTTTCACCACAGTACATTAAACTGCGCAACTTCATACATGTAATAACTGTTTTGACATTGCTGTACAAAAAAATTTTTACTTTTGGTTGAACAGTTACCGTCAAGTCTAACTTCCAAGCATGCAAAATGCTTCCAGTGGCAATGCACTTGTTTACAATGCCAAAGGATTCCCAGATATACAATAATGTGGAAAACAAAAGTATTTAGTCACCACAAAGGGGATAGTAAATACTTCTTTAAATATATTCAAAAATTAATTTTTTTCCTTTCAGAAAGGACTTTGACATAAAAGACACGTTCACAGCCTTCCTGTAAGAGCTACACTTAGCATCTTAATTAGACAAGAAACACAGCACCCACCGGTACAAGCTTTAATGAAAGCGGTGAGGTAATTTAGAGCCTTCCTCCACCATAAACAAGTACCCCAATTACCTTATCAAAACTTCACCCAGGTGTCCAGACAGTGCACCATCTATGTACTCCTCTGTGTTTGCAAGCTTGAAAAGAAAATGAGAAAAAAAATCAGAACGACAGCAATAAAAGTGGCTTCACAAAGCACATGACTGCTCTGTCCTCAGCCCAGGGCTCGGCTACAGTGAGAGGGGCTGGCTGAGATGGCCTGTTCCCACACTGCACAGCATCCCCAGTGAGGATGGATGGATGGATGGATGGATGGATGGGGCACTGCCCGTCATCCCAGCACGCAGCAGCTATAGGCAGGAAAGGTCCTTACGCATCATCTCGTTCCGACCTCCTGCCATGGGCACTGACACCTTCCCCTAGACCAGGTTGCTCAGAGCCCCATCCAGCCCGGCCTCGAACCCTGCCAGGGATGAGGCCACCACAGCGCCGGGGCCCGGCACCGCCCGCGTCCCAGGCATGCCCCGGCCCCTCACCTGCATGTTCATGTAGCCGTCCACGGAGACGAGGTAGCCCTTGTACTCCATCCCCCACTTCAGCTTCACCATCACCGGCTTCCCCGTCAGCCCGTTCAGGAACGGCTTGGGGTTGAGGGGCAGGCTCTGGAGGGGAAAGCACACGGTCAGCGCCTCCCGCTCCGCCTCGCCCGGCCGCCTGGGGCCGGTAGCGGCCCGGCTCCCGCTCCTCCCGCGGCTCCCGGCCCTCCTGCTCCTCCCGCGGCTCCCGCTCCTCCCGGCTCCCGCTCACCATGGCGGGAGAAGCGCAGGCCCACGCGGGAACCCCTCGTGCACGCCGCGGTACAACGGGAGGCGAGAGGGGACGGGATCAGCTCCGCTCCCGCTTCCAGTTCCGGGGGCGCCGCTCTCCCACCTCCGACCTCTCACCCGCGCCGCGCCCCCCATAGGCTGGAGGGCCCCGAAGCGCCGAGTACGAGCGTGGCTGCCCATTGGCTGACCGCTGCTGCGGGCCTCTCTCATTGGCCGGACCGCTCAGTTTCCTCCCCCCACCCCCGTCTCAACCAATCGCTGTTGCCGCCAAGCGGGCCGTGGTCGCGCGGCTGTGGGTGGTGCGGGGGGGGCTATCCCGTGCCCCGTGCGCGTGCCCGTGCCCCCTGCGCGGCCCCTGCGGCCGTGCCAGGCCCGTGCCCCGCGCGCGTCCCCTTTGCCGCTCCTTGCGGGCGCGTCCCCACGAGGTGGCAGCGCCTGAGCGGCGCGGTGGCCGCGGCACCGGGCGAGAGGGCTCCGACAGCCGCTCCTCGTGGTGCCGGCGGGCCCCGCGGGCGGCGAAAGCCTGGCGGCGTCCATCCGTCTGCGAAAATAAATCCTTTTCGTTACCAAAGATAGAAAATCTCAGACTTTATAGGACGCATTAAGTACGAATTCCCTGTCAGTGTCTTTTGACTCGCAGGCAAAGATGTTCTTGGGTGTAGAGAGAGCCGTGACACATCAGTCCTGCGCTAGCTATAACCTGTGTCTTAGCCTTTGACAGGCAAATATGTTGAACCAACGTTGTACCGTGTACCAATTTGTCACATCCTCACTAATGTCTTCTACTACTCCATGTATAGATTCGGCAAATGCCACGATGCCACGATGTGTGTTTCTGTTCCATTCCCTTGATCTTCAGTGTTTGGCTGCTGAATGTGGAAAACACACATTCAGGAAACTTAACCTTTCAGCAACGGGTTTTATTACGGGTTTCGAGCACTTCACCTTCCAAAGGTGAGTCTAGTGCCCTGGTATTGAAAGCAAAACCATTCTCACCTCCTTGAATCGGCACGTTTAAAGCTGTTGATGCAACAAGCCGTGTTCTTCTGGTCCAGACTGTCCTTACACACAGCGGCACCGTGAATGTGTAGGAGTGAAACAGATGGAATTGTAATTCCTGTTCACTAGAATAAATCAAAAGAGCAGTTACAGAATCACAAAATTGTTAGGGTTGGAAGGGGCCTCTGAAGATCATTGATTCAACCCTCCTGCCAAGGCAGGGTCACCTGGAGCAGGGACACAGGAACGTGTCCGGGTGTGTTTGGACTGTCTCTAGAAAGGGAGACTCCACAACCCACCTGAGCAGCCTGTTCCAGTGCTCTGGGTCTTCAACATGAAGAAATTCTTCCTCGTGTTGAGGTGAAACTGTTTGTGAAGATATCTAGATGTGCATTTCCATGACCATTAGAAATAACAGTGATTTTCTTTTAGGGTGTAGTGGATAAGCAACAGAAATAACACCAGAATCATGCTAATTATCTTTCTGGTAGCAGTACTTACTATGGGCCAGCTGAAAGAGTAACTAACTTACAAGATTGTTTAGACTATGTAGAAAAAATATTAACACAGTGGGAAATGGTATATATATAAAATTGTTCATACCATTTGCAGTATAGAATAGCTGATTTCACATGATAACGTGTATAATGTGGCAGAATTCAATGAGCTAAGCGCAACTGTCTTGAATAAAATTGTACTGTAAGAGCAATTTTTGCACTCTTCTGACAAGGATAAACATGTATGTCTGTGAATGACAGTATGACAGGTTTGGTATGTTATCTGTAAATAGTTATTTTTACATACAAAATCAGTTTTGACCACAATGTCTCCTACTCATGTCGGGAAAACTTTCCGTGCACCAAGAAACAGGAGCATTTATATTCCTGTTTTTATATACTCTGATCATCAAGTGAGTAAATATTCCAACCCCGTTGCTACAAAAAACAAGAATTCCCAGCATCATGGATCTCAGTGTAGAAGTCAGAGAGTGAGAGTGCTTGACTTCTAGTTCCATAATTGGTCCATGAATTCATGCGTCAGTAATCTCATCAGCTGCAGCCTGGGTCTGCAGCAATTTTGTGTGGTGGTAGGGTGGGAAGGAGTACTGAAAGCACAGAATGCGTGACTACATCTGATGTAGCTAACTGAGTAAGTCAGTCAAATAGCTATTGGGTTTTTGTCCCTTATGAGGAATTTGTTGTTTACCTTGTTGGGTGAATCATTCTGGCTCAGAGACAGTCTTCTTACACTGATCTTTGGACCTTCAGCACAGGGGTGAAGTTCACCTTTTGTCCTCTTTGTATTTCCCATGTAATAGGGGAAGTAATAATTTGCATTCTTTTCTGCCTTTGGGTCTGGGTATTTAGGCTGTTGCTCAACAGGAAATGAACAGGAAAGAGTTGTTGTAATAGATTAATTCAAACTTTAGCTCCTGGGTGGATGGATAGGATTTTCTCTTACAGCTCAGGGGTGGGAATTTAACACAAATGCCTACACTATGTTCCTAAAGAAATACATTAAGCAGCTGGACATTCAAGGGCAGCAGCACTTCTGGTGGAGGGACTGGTTAGATGGTGTTGTCTGTGTAAGTGCAAATGCTCACTGACATCACTAATGCTCTGTGCTGCCATAAAAGCAGGCTGAGAGAGCCCCTGTAATATCACATTGCTGAGAGAAACCTTGGCGGCCCAGAACTCCTTCTGGATTCAGCTGACTTTGCTGGGACACAAACGCCCTGCAATAACCTGTTTCTGCCTGCCATAAACACATTATTAAGGAAACTTTCAGAGCTGCCCCATGTTCCAGCTTCTAGGCTGTACATTTAGTGACCATCCTGTGCCTTTTCCTAGTGATCTGCCAGTGTCAGTGGGGATTACCCCCACTACATCCTTATTCCACATCAGGCAAACTACTTTTGATACCACAGTCACGTCCACCAGAGCAGTCAGAGCATCAGCATGTCATGGGTACAAGTTGCAGACAAAGAACTTAAAGCAGCCATGAAAGCACAGCCCTGAATTACATGTGGGCAGAGCTAAGTTAACAGGATGGAAGCTCCATCAGGAGACAGCACCTTCAAAGGACAGGTTTGCATCAAAAGGGATCCAATGTAGCAGCATGAGTTAGCCCTGCTATGTGGCAGATAATTGTGGGCTCACAATTGAGTTTACAAGGCCAAGTATGTATATAAAGAACATCTATTTTTCCTTCAGAAATAGGCATAATGCAAGATTTTCTATTGGATATCATACTGGAATGGAAAATTAGATCTTACCCACAATTTGTCTGTAGAGAGTATCTTGTCTAAAAATCAATAAGTAACACAAAATTTTCTTAACGTGCAGAAAATCTGTGTCATTTATCAGCTCTTGGTGACTTGGGAACTTCTGTAGCAGTATTGTGTGGACTATCAACAGCCTTTACATGAGATATAGTACTGGCTTTATGGGGCTTTGCCAGAATGAAACATTTTTGCTTCAAGCAGTATTTTCCCAAAAAGTCTACCAGTGAAACACCTTTCCCCTCTGCTGATTGTAATTTTAATAACACCACCTTTGATCAAATCTCCACGTGAGGCAATCACCATCCACCACAGACCTCCACCACAGATTGTAACTGGGAGTTAGGAGGTAGTGACATCAGACTTAAGAAGAACAGGGGGCTGTAATTTCTCTCTGAGATTCTCATCAAACAAAGCAAAGCCACACTGTGCTACAGGGGTGGATATACAGGATCCAAGTACTAGGAGGCACAAAGCTGGTTAGCCTGTTTCAGGCTTCATCCAAGCAGCATGCCATTTTCCACATGCTGGCAGACTTTCATCTCACTTTAAGACTGTAGCCCAGAATAGATGCTCAGCCTTGCTGAACAACACTTGGAAACAGCCAAAGGGAAGGACACAGGGAGACCACAAAAACCAGGAGACTTTCCTTTGGCCCTGCATGCCTGGCATTGGCTAGCAACAGTAATGTGAGGGCACACAAATAAGTGCAAAAGTCTGTTTGGGATGGACTTGCCCAGCTAGCAGGAGACCATGCTATGAACAATTCCCAAGATAGAAATGAAGGGTTTCTTCTTGGGTAGAGGATTTATGTGCAGTTTCAAATCAGTACAATGTGTTTTTTTCTGCAGTGATATCAGTATAAAATGAGACTGAGGGTGGAGGTGGAGGGCAGGTATGTTCTAACAAAATCCCTGATCTTTTGTCCACACCATCAAAGATCTGCCAGAGTGGCTCTTCTGTGAACCTGTCACACGGCTGGGCTGTGCCAACAAGAAGGGGCATGGGATGGGTATTGTATAGAAATTATGGGCACATTAAAGCCTCCTTTTATCCATATTGAAAACCTTTATTTTTCTGTGCAAAGAGTGTTCATGCAAATTATGCAGCTACACTAAAGAGAGGCCCTTTAAGAATGTGTCTCTGAAAACACAGTCTCCTTTGCCAAGAAATAATGGGACTTCCTCAATTATCAGCTGTTATCTTCTGGGTTTAGCAAACTTTTGTTGCTTTATGTGCGGTTGCTTCTTTTATGCTTTGACATTAATGAATTGGAATTGAAATTATGTACTGAGGAAAACAAAGTACAAATAATAAAATGGTGTACTTGTGTGTGTGTCAAAAAGAAGGAGATCAAGTATTGTGCAGAAGGAATTTGGAAACCGTGCTTTCACACAAACATTTTAATAGATATTAATAACTGGCTCCAAATCACAGAAGTTGTTGAAGGGTTGGTGTTTTGAGAAATCTGTCTGATCAGAGCTTAGAAAGTCTGGCTGGTGTTGGAGGCTCTCTCTGTAAGGTGGCAAGCTCTGCCGTAACAGAGGACCTCATCTGCTGCCATTTTTAACAGTGAATCTTGTGGGGAGGGAGGAGGGAAAGGAGTTACTAGGCAACAGGCACACAGGTCAATAGAGTGTTGCTGGTTAGGAGAGACTAGGTATTATACAGATTCCCTCTGCACCTTTTCAGAGAAAGAGGGAAACTAGCTGGTTAGGAGAAAGAGACACAAATGATGCTGGGTTAAAAGGAGCAGCTAAATCTAGGATTCATTAATTTCTCAGAAAACTCTGTCTGAGCTCAAGCCATCAGTATTCTGGAAAGATGAGGCAGAGA